TAGATAATCTATACAATTAAATCCATCAAAGTCATTGGATGACTATGATTCTTCAACTATTAGTGAAAAATGCGGGTATGTGCGCCTCTACGAACGTCCAAAAACTGCACATGTCAACTATTCCCATCAAAATATTTCAAAATTTATTCAATAAACTTTCCTTCATATTTTGATTTATAATGACGAGCATCGCATTTATCAAAAATCTGAAATAAAAAATGGGGGCCACCATTCTCGTTTTTGATTGATCTTGAAAAAACATCTCAAGATAGTCAAAAACTGACACTTTTACGAGTGGAGACTGAGGCAAGTCARATAAAAATTGCAATTTCTCTACTCAAGAAAGAGAAAAAAGTGAAAATTGGTTTTAAACCTGTTTCTTATTTAGTTTTTCCAAAAGAAAAATGCCTAAACTTTGTTAGTTCTATGCTTTTAGTTRCATGCGCAGAAAAATGCACAGTGCAAAACAAGGGAATTACCTTAATTGACTCTTTAAAACAGTGCGATTTAAAACTCAAAATGGTGCATGATTTATCGCACTGCTGGGAGCCAATCAGATTGCAGAAATACCACTGATTTCGAAAATGATATAATTAAATGAATTATCGGTGAGAGAGATTAAGTCGTACTGCTTTTGTCGATTGTAGGAAAATGACAAAAAGGGACACTGCAGTCCCTCTAGATCTTCTGCTGGAACCAAAAAGTCAACTTCTTCCTCAGGGAAAAAACAAGTAAGTTTAATCTAGTTTTATCTTTTTGTGAATTTCACACTCTTTATAGTTTTTGTACTGGTTTCCTCGAATTTCTCTCTCTCTCTCTCTCTCTTTTAACTCGTGGGGACACCAAGCATACAGGGGCCTGAATATGCAACTTTACTCACTCGCTCACTAATATGTTAGCAGATCGATATTTAAACAATTAGGGTTACTTTCTCGGATTAGCTGTCGAAAGCTCAAAGATGTAAGGCTCAGAAGTTAATTCCTACTAGGAATTCGAAAGCTTAAAGATATATGAGGCTCAAAAATATTTTCCCATTAGGAATTGGAAAGCTCAAAGATATGCGAGGCTTCGTAAATAATGCTCAATGATTCGTGACAGGAGAAAAGAATTTAATACTAAAACCTTTAGTAGTTGGGTAGGGATGGCACGGGCCGGATTTTCGGTGAGGATTTACTAATTTTGGGTGAGGATGGCTGAGGATGGCTGAGGAGCCGGGTGAGGATTTAATTATGTTCTAATACGTCACGCATTACGTGTATCATATGCGGTGGATTTAATTATTTTTATTACTTATTACCATAAAATGACGAGTAGGTATTGTGAAGTTGCCATGACGACCAATTGACGCCATGAGTTTATTGTTTGACAAGTTTGGACAAGTCTTTTGTTTACCAATCCAATTTATAGAGCTCGGGGATTTTGAATTTTTAACTCCAAAACTCAACCAACCAAGCAAGCAAGCAAGACCTAAAAAAAATTACTTTTGAGAAACGCAATGGCTACGTTATTCCTGTTAGGCTCTC